ATTATGCTTGTGTTTGACTTGTTCCTTGCTAATTCTACTGATTCCCAAAATTTTCCTGCATCGATTTGGTATCAGAGCTCTGGGTGTCTTCAACAACAAGGCCTAGAAACTACAACCAAATCTAGGGTTTTCTGATTTTGGCCTAAGTTTTGCCAAATCAACCTAGATCATGCTGATTTCAGTAGGTTTTTGTTGATCACATGCTTAGGGTTTGGTGAACCCATTATAGAGAGAAGGGATTGTGGAAAGCGGTGTGGGGGGGGTTCATAGACCCGCTATGTGATTCCAAAAAATGACAAAATTGCAAAACTTGAAAGGCAGCATAGTATCTGATGCAATATTTTGCTAGCCTTAATAATGGGCAAAACAGTGATCTTCCAACCCAAGAGGATCTCGAGTGCAAGTTTTTCACTTTAGCTCCACATAGGGAGTCGAGTGATGAGGATAGTGACATACGGCCTAGATGTAGGGAACATCGCTTTAGGGTTTTCGATTTGATGAATGAGATTCCTGATTTTGACATAGATTGAATAAAAAATCAGCAAATTATAGATTCAGATTCGGCACCAATCTTTGATACATATTCCGATGAACAACAAGACCGTTTAGGAGATCCGATCTATGATAAGGATCAAGATGATGATGAAGATATTTTCGAAGAGGGTGAAGAATATGGAGATAAGGTAGCAGGAGGACTGATCCAAATGATGGCCTTTGAAGATCTCATTATTGTCGTAGAGGTAGAGCATTTAAGATATTTAGGGCATTGGAGTCAGAGTAGCGCAAGGGAAGTGTGGTCAACTCATAAACCGCAAATTGTGGCCTTGACTTTAGAAAATGATGTAATAGATGTTGAGAAAACCTCTAAAGATCAGATAATTGAGTTTGAATTTTTCTGCATGATTTTCAGAATTCAAGGATAGCCGTATTTGATAAATTTGCATTGATACCTCAAATGAAAATCAGGATTTTTTTCTTGAGGAGTTACTTTTACCACGAGTAATATTTGCGTCGACAAAGGAAACGAATGTTGAAAAAGGTGGTTTTGATGCTGAATTCCTCTTAGCACACTTCAAAACTTGAGGACGAGTTTTTTCGAACGAGAGGAGAATAATGGAGGGCAAAGTTATTTTTATTCTTAATTTTTATTTAATTTTAAGGGATGTATATTTTAGTTTTAGTTTTAGGGTTTATTTCTATTTTTTAGCTTTTTAGGGATTCTAGGATTTTTATATTTTTTTATTTACTTCATGAGTACTATTCACAAGCACTGTTTATAGGGGTAAAACTGACACTGCAGATTTTAAGTTTAAATTAGGATATATTAGTCAATGCATTATTTGTTTGGACACTTTTTGTACTTGGAATATTAAATAATATTATATAGAGGTGCATGGGGGCCTAGGAGAAGGCGTCACATCATTTTCCATAATTGAGAAAAAGAAAGGCTCAGGTTTTTGCAACCCTAGATTGGGTGTGGAGAAGATACCCTAGGTTTCTTTGAATTGTTCTTGTGTTTGGCTTGTTCCTTGCTGATTTTATTGCTTCGTCAATTTTTCCTGCATCAGAATCCCCTTATTCATCCATCTGAGTTCAGACCTCTCTCTCTCTCTCCTTTCTCTCTTCTCCACACCATCTCTCTCTCACACAGGTAGGTACGCCCACGTAATAGGGGGGGCCATAAGGGTGGTATGCACCACCCATGTTTGCCAAGTTAGGGGGCATGCCCAGCCCACTTTCTATTGAGTTCAAGGTAGGTGCTTTTGTGATACAACCAAAGGTTAAGGGTTGAAAAGAGACCCAGATAGTTGTCCATGCTCTTAGCCCCAGTTCTATTAGAGTTTATTGCCATAGGTCCTTCCTAGTTCAGAGGATTCAGCAGGACCAAAGGATCATAGTGCTCCATCAGTTTGGTGATCGGGTGTTGGTTGTGTCAAGTCCTAAGGGGGTAACCCTAGTCAGAGGTTTCATGAGTTTGGTACAGGTGTCGGTTGTGTCAAATCCTAAGGGGGTAACCGTAGTCAGAGGTTTAGTAAGCCTACTTTATCATTTTATTTTTCAGTTCTTGATTCATACTTGTTTTAGAAGTCCTATTTAAATTGGGATACCTATTTTGAATTAGGACTCCTACTTAAATTAGAATTCCTAATTGTATTAAAATTCATAATGTAAGTTTGAATTCAGCTTTGAATAAAGTTCTATTTTGGTAGTAAGAGTTAATTTCTAGATTGCAATGAGTTTATTTCTATATTGTATTGTGGCAATTGTGAGTAGAAATTCCAGTTATTGATAATGAAAAAGAGAATTTTTTTTAATTTATACCTCGGAAATCTACATAGCTAGTTTTATCATAGGGGCCATTGTAACATAGTTCCATACATTTCCACAAGAAGGATGACCTAAGTGGATTTTCTTTTTATTATATAAAATTTATAATTGTTTAATCATTTTTTGAAAAGGAGTTATGTAATAATTATTGGCTACCTTTTTCGTAACTGATAACTTTGTGAATGATATATAAGCCTTTAAATTTTCAACAAGTTGTTGAGAAATGCATGGTCTTCATATTCCTGATCCAAAATGGCTTGCCATTAACTAAAAGAAGAGCACAGTTGGGTGTCATTCCAGTTGAACCATTAGAAGCGAGAAAACAGGTTCACAACCTTAGAATTGGAAAAACTGTTGCATGCCACCTATGGCTTAAAGTTAGAGGTTATTGTTGAGGGAGATGGAAAAGAATTCCATTGAAGTTATTCTTGGATGATATAGTTTATAGGACCTTAAGGGGGTTGCTTGAGAAATGGAGGAAACTTTAGAAAATTGAAGTAATTGTTATGGGTGCTGCTTCTTGTATTAAACATTTGGACGAGTGCAGGGGCTGTCAACCACAAAGAAGCTTACTATTATGACAGCAACAGAAGTCTCGGTGAGGCTGATAAGGGTGACCATGTTGGTTCTTCGTTGGCCTTGGTGACTTAGGGCTTGATGACTACTAAGGAGTCGGGTACCTGATAATAAACCAATTAATAGAATTTTGGTTTGAGGTTGAAAACTTCCCTGCGTCAATGTAACTTGTTCAGTGGGCGAGTCGTGCAAATGCAATCTCAGAATATGTCTGACTTTTTCCTTATATGTAATCTCTCCTTATATACAAATCTAATATGCTTATTTGATAGATAAGGTACCAAAATGTTTGATTCCCATTCCCCTCCACTCTGTTTTGCAAAACTCTTCAAATTTTTCATCACTAAATATGAACAGCTCACCAATTTCTTTCAAGGTTACTGATTTACTCGAGAAATTGACTCAAATGAGTTATGACTGAATCAGCCTCTGAGTTTGAGTTTCTGGACAGTGTGATAAACTATTTTCTATATGCATCTGTTTCTGTTTGATTAAGTTTTATACTTACAAAATACACATTCGTGAATTGTGGTGGGGCTTTGGTAGCATGAGTGCATGTGATTTAGTTGTGTTGTGCAGATAGTGTCTATATATATCCTATTTGTTTTAGGCTTCATATATCTATCTTAGATTTTTTGAGACAACGCTGGCGAGTGTTCTTTGGTTGAGCACGAGAACTTTCCCTAGGGTTAAAAGGTTGTGTTCAATCTCCTCGATAGTAAGCCTATAAACAGGTTGGTCGGGTCCAGGTCGACCCCAACCCAGTCTTGACAAAATGGGGTAAAGGTAAGACCTAGACCTGACCAGACCCCGGTTGGATCCATGTCACTTGCACTTGGATCTGACCCATCAGGTCAGGTCAGGTTGGGTGTCATATATATGAAAGAATTATGTATCTAAGATTATTATAGTCGTGGGAGGCAAGGCANACAGGGGATAGG